CTACTAATGAGGCTTTTTTTTGTTCTTAGTATTTAGAATTAATATTGCATTATTAAAAAAATAGATTTAGGAGTTATACAATTTTGTGTGATATCATTATCCCCTATTTAGAATTAATTTTACGTCTATTTCCATTAAGTAGATAATATGAAACTGTTATATATAAAACTAAGATTAAAAAGCTCTAGAGTTGCAATCTCCAAGCTAGTCATTTAACCCTGTTGAGCATATGGGAGATTGTAACCATTAAAATTAATATAAGAAAAAAAATAAAGGATACAAAAGCAATATGTAAAGTTTTTATTAAAGAAATTATATGTTGGTTTGAGTTTATAAAAGTGGGATTAGGGTTAGTATTTTACAATTAAATGAAATTATGTTGATTTAAGTTTACGAAGGAGGGTTATAGTTCAAATTTTATAATCAAATTAATTTTTATGTCGGTTTCGGTTTATAAAAGAGTAGGTAGGGTTTAGGATTTAGATTTTACAATAAAACAAAACTATATGTCGGTTTGGGTTTATAAAAGAGGATATATAAGAGTTTAAAATTTATAATAAAACACAATTATGTTTTGGTTTGAGTTCATAAAACAGTGGTTAGGGCTTATATTTTACAATTATACAAAATTATTTGCCGGTTTAGGTTTATTAAAGAATGGTTAGGGTTTAGATTTTTATTAATTAAAAAACTATAAATAATGTTAGATCATATTAATTTTAAATTATTTTATTTAGATAATATTATTTTTTCAGTTTATATTTTAAATTATATGTCACCAAAGTGCACTTATCTTTGCGTATTTATGCTGGAGTAGTCAAAGGATGTGTGACCTTCCGGGAAGTGGTTCTCGTATCAGTGTGAGTGAAGCTAAAACAAAGGGAAATATCATGTGGTGATTTTTAGGGTTGGCAAAAAAAGTATTAAACCTCCCGGATGTAGTAAACCAAATCGGATATTAATGGGCTCATGGGCCTAGTGAGAGGATGTGAAGCCAATTCAGAGAGGTGAGCCCATAGGCTAGTGGTGAACATGGGGCCCACTGAGAGATGCGGTCGGGGCGTTACAAGTGGTATCAGAGCTGAACCAAAACAAGTGTAGAGTGGTGGGCTCACACTGTTAGGGAGTGACGGTCTTAGTGCGCAACGTATTTTTGCAGCGTATTAGTGGGGGAGAATTGTGAGACCCCAGTTTGTGTAGAGGTTTAAATGAATTGATTTGATCACCTATGTCACCAGAGTGCACTTATCTTTTCGGTCAAAGATTCTGAGAGAATTCCACAGTTAAGTATGCTTATGCTGGAGTAGTCAAAGGATGGGCAACCTTCCGGGAAGTGGTTGTCGGAACTGTGTGAGTGAGGCCAAAACACAGGGAAAGATCATGTGGTGATTTTTAGGGTCGGTAAACAATGTTTTAAGCTTCCCGGACGTAGCAAACCGACCGTTAGATATTGTTAAGCTCATGGGCCTAGTGAGAGGACGTAAGACCCTTTATGAAATCCTAACGATTTATCATTTATGTGTATCTATTATAACATTTTTGAAGTACAATTTTTTGGCAACTGCAGTTTAATTTTGTTTGGACAACGATTACCCTCTACTAATCTTAATTAGCGTTTTATCGTTAAGGTTAGTGTGGTAGTTAGTTCAAAACGAGTCGGTTATTTTTTTCGATTAAGAACCCAATTGCATTAATCGAATCCAATGTTGCGATACTACCATCGACTGCCCTTCTCATAATGTTCATTTCTGATGACAAAAATGTTAAATATGTCAGTAATATAATCAACCGGGTTGTTATGTGACTTTGATTTTCTCAAACACAATAACCGGCTTATTAATAACTTTCTTTTCCATTCGAATATATTTAACACAATATTTGATCCCTCAATTCTCCTATGCATACGAAAACGTCAACCCATAATCAATGTAATATCATATATAATATCCTAACTAATAAACCATATATTACTACCCAAATGGAAACTTCATCCCTTTAATTTAGGCGTATCTCCGTCCCTCCACAATTGTGGCAATCAAATATTCATATATTCTTGAGATGAAAAAGAACATTAACTGCCACCACATATATATTTGGGATATCCCTCCATTGAAGATCTCAAATTGTCATTTCCAAGATATTAAAAATAAGAGTATTTGCACTTACACACAGTTTCAAAAGTTTAATTGCCCTATGACACACTTATAAAGTTATGGTGGACTTTGGGTGAGTGTGTTTACTCTCTCACCCTCACTGATTCAACATATTAACTCATTTGTCATCCCAGCTAAAATGCCACACAACTAAAATGTCACACAACTAAACACTTACATTCTCTTCCTCTTCCTTTTCTTCCTCCTCCTCCTGTTCGATTCTTTCCCTTTCTTCCTCTTTCTCTTTCTCAATTTTTATCTTTCTTTTTTATAATCACTTTATCTTGTTATTATAACAATATTTTATATTTATTTTTGTACAATATTCAGTATTTATATTTTTCCTATATTTGAAGATGCATTTTACTATATTTTTGGATGAATTATATTATATATATTATCCATTTGTAGTTGACCATTTATTCGCTTATAATTGGATGGTCAATTGTAATATCGTTTCTGGATATACATACTTGTGTTTGGACATTTTAACAACATGTGGTTACTTCTTACATGTTTTAGTATAAATGAGTGCATATGTACATGATAACATTCCAATAAAAATGAGTGTGTCTATGTACATGTGAACATATGGACAATAATCGTCTATCCAACGATGAAGATGAGAGTGTTAAGAATGATTGGAAGCATTTTTTGGACAGAATAGGTCATCAGTATCCAAAAAACCTCATCCACATGATCACAAAGAGCATCGTCACTACCGATTTAAACCTGTAAAAACGAAAAAACAAAAAAACTCAGAAGCACTTACCTAGATCTGTCATCCAAAGTGATTGAGAAATTGTTGTCCACCTCAAACTTCCATCTACCATCCCCAGAACAACGCCAGCTCCCACAAATGACTATCGTGTAATCGTCCACATGAGCCTGAACAATTGTACGAAATGCAGAGCTTATTGTAACCATTACAAAAAAAAATCAAATAAATTGCAGAAATACACATTATACCTCCGTCGTCGTCATTCGTCAACAAATTCCTTAAAAGCTTCAAAAACAGGGCATCCGTCGCCGTGATTTGTGTTCTTTATTCAAGTTTAACAGAAATGAGAAGACATATCGTCGACATGTTGGAGAAAACGAAACAGCTATGTACCACTAAGTTTTATTTTCTTGGCTAATTAAATATTTTAATTAATTAATATTACCTAGATATTCTTGGCTAACGAAATTAGTTATCAACAGATGGAAACAGACGACGAGAGAGGGAAACAGACGAGAGTTGTGCTTTTACTTTATTAGGCCAATTGTGTCTTTTTTTGGCACCAACAGTGGCCAAAGTACAACATGAATTGGAGAGTGTGCTTTTGTAAGTTCCCTCCCTTAAAGTGTGTCTATAGGTAAATCAATCTTTATCCCCACGCCCATTACAAATCTAGGTTTAAGTTAAGGTTTTTTTCTCCCCAACACTATATATAGCTATATCATATACACCACATACTCACCTCACTGGAATAATCTTATTTATAAAGGTTTTGAACCATTATCCAAAAATTTCTACTCGCCATGGAATGTTGTACATATGCTAAAAAAATTAGTAATATATTAAAAATTCAAATTGCAATATATACGGAAATTTTTTTTGTATTTTTATTATACATATACAAGAAGATAACGTATACTTCGGATAACAAAACTACAATAAATCTATGTATTAAAAAAAATAGAGATACTTAAATCTTTAGAAAACAAAAAGGCTAAAACATGAATCGTTGAATTGAAGAAATTAATGAGAAATAAAGATGAAACTGAAAGATCAATAAAATTAAAAATCGAAAAAGGATTGTGTACGCTAGGATTACAGACAGTGCCTTGTGAATGAAAATGGTGGGAGCATGTGACTTAGATTGATAATTAGATATTTATTAGTTTGATAAAAATAAATATTTAAACGAGGAATACGGGTATCCTGTCTAAATCTTTTACCAAGTTTTTTATAATAAACATTGCCAAATGATTATGTTTTAAAAAGAAACGATTATGGGACGGAGATTTTATGACAGACAGAAGACGTGGCGGCGTGGGACGGGACGGGTCAGGACGAGACGGAAAGGGACATGACGGGTTTTCCATTATAAACTACACATAAAACAATTCAAACTAAAACTAAATCCAAATCCGATTTAACATGTCTAAGCAAACAGTTAGAAATGTTTTGATTAGTTTAAAAAATAAACACATAATATCACTTATCATTTTCATTTAAATAATTTTAAAATTGTATTATTTAATACAATATCTATATTTACAACTGTATGTCTATATATAGTTTGTCAAATAAACTCATATAACAAAATTTTACCAAAATATCATCTACTTAAAAATCATAATTTTGTAAAAATAACTCCGCACGTACGTGCGGGTCCATCATTATTATTTCCATAAATATAGATAGTTTTGTTTTTTTAATTATCCTTTTTTAATTATCCATTTAATTGTATATACTATGATCACTTTATTCAAAATGCTTCCCTTTTAATAATATAGATTTTATGTAATAAAATAAATTAAAAAAAAAGATCATATAAAGATTTTGGAGAAATATTTGAGAAAAATGTGGAAAATAAGAAATGATATTATATTTATTAGGGAGAGATTTTAGGTATTTTGTTAAAAATGATTATTATTGATTTTCAAAATTTTAACTAATAATAAATTCCAAGAATTATTTTAAAAACTGCTGCAAAAATGTTTGAATA